TTCTAATTGTTGAAGTTGTTGAGTTAGAGTGTTGATTTTGTTTCTTTCTTCTCTTTTGATGTGTGCATTTATTGCTATAAACTGACCTCTGAGTACTGCTTTCACTGTGTCCTATAGGAGCTCTGGTAGCATAGTGCCTAAGGCACTTGACTGCTAACCAGAAGGCTGGCGGTTCAAACCCACCAGCCACTCCACAGAAGGAAGGTTGGGCATTCCTACTTCCGTAGTGATACTGTGTCGGAAACCCAAGGAGGGGTCGCTATGAGTCGGGGCCGACTCGATGGCAAATAACAACAACAACAACAACAATAAGTTGTGGTAAGATGTATCTTCATTCTCATTTGTTTCTAGGAATTTTTTAATTTCACTCTTCATTTCTTCTATTACCCAGTAGTTTTTGAGCAGTGTATCAATCAACATCCATGTTTGATCTTTTTTCCTTTCTTCCTATTATTAGTTTCTAATTTTGTAGCATTGGGGTCCAAAACAATGTTTGTAGTATTTCAGTGTTATTGAGGCTTGTTTTATGTCCTAACATATGATCTTTTTTTGGAGAATGATCCATGTGCACTGGAGAACAATGTGAATTGTGCTTTTGTTGGGTGGAGTCCTCTGTATATATCTATGAGGTCAAGTTGATTGATTGTGTTGTTGAGTTCTTCTGTATCTTTGTTGAGTTTTTTTCTAGTTGATCTGTCCCTCCTTGAAAGTGGTGTGTTAAAGGCTGCTACACTATTGTAGAGTTGTCTGTTTTCCCTTTCAATTCAATTAATATTTTCTTCATGTATTTTGGAGCACTTTCATTGGGTGCATAGGTATTTATTATAGGAATGTCTTCTTGGTCAGTTGACCCTTTCAGCATCGTATAGTGATCTTCTTTGTCACTTATGCTGTTTTTCATCTTAAAGTCTGTTTTATCAGAAATTAATATCGCCACTCCTAGTCTTTTTTTTGGTTACTGTTGGCTTGGTATATATTTTTTCCACCCCTTAACTTTTAATTTGTTTTTATCTTTGTGTCTAAGGTGGGTCTCTTGTAGGCAACATATCAACAGGTCTTCTTTTCTTATCTAGTCTGCCACTCTCTTTCTTTTGATAGGTGCATTTAGTTCATTCACATTGAATGTAATTAGTGATAGGTATAAATTTATTGCTATTGTGTTTTCTATTTTATTGTGTTTTCTTTTTCTCGTGTTGTTGGAGTTTCCTTGGTCCTTATACTTTTCTGTGCTGGGTTCATTTTGTTGTCAAGTGTTTCCTTTCTTTTCTTCTTTATTGTTGCTTTTGTGTTTACTAAGCCCTTATGTTTTCCTTGTTTCTGGGTTTGCTTAGGGGCCTTGTTAATTTTCTCCATGGTTACCTTCGAGTGAATTCTTGTCTCTATATTTTTGGAACAGTCTGTTCTATAAGGACATTGTTCTATAAGGTCATTGTCTATAATGACATTCCTCTCCATTTGGAAATTTTGTACCTAGGACTTTTATTCCCACTGTTTGGTTAGTTGCTGTTGTCATGTGCAGATTGACTCCCTTGTTTTTTTTGTGTACAATGTTTTATGGGTTTCTTTTGAACATCTGTTTCTGACTTGGTTTTAGTGTTGATGTCCTGTGTCCTGATTTTGTTGTTCTCTGCTGTGGGTTCTTTATTGGAAGGACTTCCTTACACATTTCTTGTTAGGTTGGTCTTGTTTTCACAAAATCCCTTAATTTCTGTTTGTCTGAGAATATCTTGATTTCACCCTCATATTTGATGGACAGTTTGGCTCGATATATGATTCTTGGTTGAAAGTTCTTTTCCTTCACTGTTTTATATATGCCATCCCATTGCCTTCTTGCCTGCATGGTTTCTGCTGAGTAATCAGAACTCAGCCTATCTGATTGTTATAATTAATATTTCTTTTGCCCCTGGCGGCTCACAAGATTCTTTCTTTGTCATTGGTTTTGGAGAGTTTGATTATGCCTTGGTGTTTTTCTCATGAGATCAATCCTGTGAGGGGTTCTTTGAGCTTCTTGGACAAATATCTTTTCTTCCTTTGTGATATGGGGGAAATTTTCTGTTAGCAAGTCTTCCACAATTTTCTCAGTGATTTTTTTCACCTCTTCTTGTTCTGGAATTCCAGTGAGGTGTATGTTCTTTCTTTTCATGTCATCCCATTTGTAAGTCTTATGTTCTCTTCCTTTCTCTTACATTTTTGTTCTGATTTTTCTTCATACAGGTTGATGTCAAAGGATTTATCTTCTAGCTGGGAAATGTGTTTTTCAGCCAGTTCTAGCCTGTTCTTCTGTGCTTCCACTGTGTTGTGTAATTCTGTAATTTTACTATTCATCTTCTGGATTTCTAACTGCCATTTTTGTATGAGTTCTTATTGTGTATTAATCTTGTTATTTTGTTCTTGAATGGTTTTCCTGAGTTCTTCCAGGGTACTGTCTGTGTTCTTCTTGGTTCTGTTTGAGGTTTCCTTAAGCTTTTGTAGTGTTCTATAAACATATCTTCTAAATTCCTTCTCGGCTGATTCTTTTGCAGAGCTCCTTTTCCTCCATGTGTAGTGAGATTTTTGTGTGGGATTTTATTTCTATTGTATTATCCTGTTTTTTGTTTGATTTGAGGTTGCCTATTGTTTCCTAGACATTTTGAAGTTGTTTTTAACTGTTAATTATGTATTGATTTGTTTTGCTTGATTTTATGTTTTAATATTTTTGCAAAGATGGAGCTGGTGTGTGTATATATATATATATATATAGGTTATTAATTCAGGTGTGTTGGGTTGTTCTGCAGTTTTCTTTGTCATGATGGGATCATTGTGTGGAATGTGGATGCAGGTCTCTGCTGTGAAGGGGATTTTGGGTTACAACAGGCAGGTGGCTTAGTGGCTTAGACAGGTGTTCTTCTACTGGATGAGGCAGGGGAGAGGTGGGGAAAGGAGGAAGATAAGAAAAAAAGGTCCAAGGTGCCCGTAGTGAGTCCCCACTTTCCATGTTTCCGTGCTTTGGCTTGGATGCTAGTGATGACATTATGTTGTCACCCACAGGCCTGCAGTTCAATATCAGCAAAGATCCCAATGGATAGGGGGCCATTACTTTCTGCCTGGTTCAGATAACCACAAAAACCCTGTACTCTGGCCCCTCCATGCCAGAAAGCTGTTCTTGAAGTGCTGGACCCCAGCCCTGCATCGTGAGCTCGTCCCAGGGCCCACCCACCTGCGGTTTGCTTCCCTCTCTGCTCCCAGTCAGTGGCGACCTGAGCCAGAGGGTTCTCTGCTCTCCTTCTTAGAAATGCTGCCCACCCACTTAGTCCATGTGCAGTTTAGAAGAAGATGTATTATACTGCTGCATGTTTGAGTCTTCTAGGCATTTGACTGCTAACCAGAAGGCTGGCAATTCAAATCCACTAGCCATTCCTCGGAAGGAAGGTTGGACAATCTACTTCCGTAGTGATACCACCTCAGAAACCCAAGGAGGAGTCGCTATGAGTTGGATCTGACTTGACAGCAGTGTGTTATTTGTATGTACATTTTCTGTCTACTACTTCTACCAGTTATTGAGAGAGAAGTGTTTAAATCTCTAACAGTTGTGGGTTTGTCTAGAATTTCTCTTAGAAATTCTATCATTCTTTTTTTCATGTATTTTGAAACTGTTATTAGGTGCATAGACTTTTATCGTTGTTATGTCCTCTCGATGGTATGACTTCTTTATTATTATGAAGTGGTATTTTTTATCCCTCATAATATTCTTTGCTCTGAAATCTACTTTGTCTGCAATTAATAGAACCACTCCACCTTTCTAAAAATATTTGTGTCTACTAAGATCCAAATATCTTACTATTGTTTTGTATTTGATAATAAATGGAAAGTAGTTCTTGTTTTGAGAGAACTTAGGAAGAAAGAGAGAAGCCATTGAGCAATAAGATAGAGTGTGGACATTATGAGATTGATGGATGTACAGATACACATTGGAGGGACTTGGAAGCTCTAGGAGGTGACAACTAAATCAAACGTGAAATTGAAAAATGAGTAGGTGGAATGGCCAAAGTGAGGACAGAATTGGGAAAAGAGCAGGATGTACAAAACCTGAAGGTAACAGTGCTTTTGGAAACTGAAAATCGGGTGGCTAAAATACAAAGTTTGAATATGTGTGACAGATGTGTCTGGAGAGGTCATCAAAAGCAGATCATGAAAAGACTTGTAATGACAATAGTGGCTTACAATACTGAGTCCTTACTGTGTGCCAGGCATGTGTTTGTGAGTATTAAGTGATATAAACCTATTAGATAATGTTGTTATAACCATTGTAAAATAAGGAGATAGGAATAGAGAGGGCACAGAGAGATTAAATAACTTGCCCCATAGACAGTTGTTGAAGGAAATAGAATTTGACCCTGATTATTTTGGCTGTAGGACCCAAGCTTTTACTTTTTATACCTTTCCATGTCTGTGATTTAGTATGCCAAACCTGAGTGTGAATATGATCACAGCTGTGGCAACATAGAGCTCTTTGAGGATTTTAAGCAGGGGCATAAATAAGTAAATAAAATTTGTGCTTTGTATTTTAAAAGCATCTGTCTGCCCATAATTTATGTAGGGGGAGATGTAAAGAGGGCATCTAGAGATATAATTGAAAAATATGTTGTGTTCTATATAAGGTATATATTAATTTTCAAAGTGAAAATAGTTTCTTAACCACTCTGTGATTCAATTTCCTTGTCTATTAAATGGAAATGATAATGGGCTCTGCCTCACAGGAGTATAAAACAATAAATTGCATATAACTGCACACAGTGAATGTTCAGTAATCTTTTGCCATGATGATGATGATGATGATAATGATACTGATGTTGATAATGAATTGATTAACCCTTGAATGTCAAAACTTAAATTTTAATCTTAAGTTTCTTTCATTTTAATGTAAGAGTTTATCATGGAACTTAGAGATACAAGTGCAGGATGGTACAGTACAGTAAAAACTTCTACATTCCACCCCCGAATATTTGTTTGTTTGTTTCCAGTTTATGGGAAAAACCGACGGAGACTATTACTCTCTGGATGACATGTTTGTCTCCAAAGCCGCTGAAAGAGAATGTCTTGGTAAAGAAGAAGAGAACCAGAGGAAAAAAGCTATTGCTGAGCACCAGAGACTTGCTGTACAAATGGAGAAATGTCTGTATTGTTTTGACAGCTCTCAATTTCCCAAGCACCTGATTGTTGCTATAGGTGTTAAGGTAAGAAATACAACATTTATTGACCTATGAAAAAGATTTCTTAGTGTATATAGATTTTCATCTTTCTTTATACTCTTAAACAATTCATGAAAACTGTCACCCTTATTCTGTTTCCAGTATTTTTGTTTTTCAAGTTTCCATGAGTTTTAGACTCTTCTTTAGAGTGAGTATCATTTAAATGACATGAAAGCTCACATCTTTGAGCTACTCTTTAGAGAGACAGCATTGGGTAGAGGTTAAGGTCGTGGACCTTAGAGCCAAATACCTGGATTCACATTCTAGCTTTGCTATTTCCCATCTGTGTGACCTTATGTTCATGACTGCCATTTTATCAGAATTAAAATTACCTCAGAAAGACTCAGTCTAAAGTAGCTTTTGCTTCTTCCCTTACTTTCTCATAGAATCTTGATTTATTCTTTATAGAATATTTCATAATTCAAAGAAGTTTATTTTGTTTTCTTTGGTGTACTTGTTTATAAGATGTCTCCCCTGATACTGGTGATTTGAAGTTCTAGTTTCTCCCTAGATGGTATCTGTACTCTATTTTCTTGACACCTCTTACCCCTATTTGACATATATTTCACTTGTTTATTTGTCTTTTTTGCCCTTTTTGGGCAGAGATTTTGTCCTTTAATTCATTGTTGATTCCCTAGCATATAGAGTAGTGCCTGGCATATAGTAGACCCTCAGTAATTATTGACTGAGGGAGTCAGCTTCAGGGATGCAGGTAAGGGGAGGGAACCCAGGCCACATCCCACAAGCGGCAAGGTGGGTAAGTGAGTCACTTAGGTTAGAAGGCATTCAGAATAGGACTGGGAAAGAGCTGCATCATCAGAGTAAAACCAGCCTTACTCATATGGATAAGGTAAAGCTTTTGGGACCTCCATTTGATGACATGGCACCACTCAAATTAATGAGAAACAGCTGCAAACATCCATTAATAATTGGAACATGGAATATGTGAAGTATGAAGCTAGGAAAATTGGAAGTCGTCAATAGTGAAATGGAACATATAAAGATTGATATCCTCAGCATTAGTGAGCTGAAAAAGACTGGTTTTGGCCATTTTGAATCAGACAACCATATGATCTACTATGCTGGGAATGACAAATTGAAGAGGAATGGCATGGCATTCATCATCACAAAGGATGTTTCAAGATCTGTCCTGAAGTACAATGTTGTCAGTGATAGGATAATATCTATACACCTACAAGGAAGACTTGTTAATACTACTATTATTCAAATTTATGCATCAACCACCAAAGCCAAATATGAGGAAATTGAAGATTTTTATTAACTTCTGCAGTCTGAAATTGACCAAACATGCAATCAGGATGTGTTAATTATCACTGGTGACTAGAATGCAAAAGTTGGAAACAAAGAAGAATCACCAGTAGTTGGAAAATTTGGCTTTGGTGACAGAAATAATGCTGGAAATCGCATGGTAGAATTTTGCAAGACCAACGACTTATTCATTGCAAATACCTTTTTTCAACAACACAAACGGAGGCTGTACACATGGACTTCACCAGATGAAACACACAGGAATTATATTGACTACATCTCTGCCAAGAGGTGATGGAAAAGCTCAATATCTTCAGCCAAAACAAGGCCAAGAGGTGATTGTGGAACAGAGCATCAACTGGTCATATGCACATTCAACTTGAAGTTAAAGACAATTAAAACAAGTCCATGAGAGCCAAAATACGATCTTGAATATATCCCTCCTGAATTTAGAGACCATCTAATGAATAGACTTAATGCATTGAACACCAGTGACCAAAAACCAGAAGAATTGTGAAATGACATCAAGAACATCATCCATGAAGAAAGCAAGAGGTCACTAAAAAGATGAGAAAAGAAGAGAAGACCAAAATGGATGACAGAAGAGACTCTGAAACTTTCCCTTGAGCGGAGAGTAGCTAAAGCAAATGGAAAAAATGACAAGATAAAAGAGCTGAACAGAAGATTTCAAAGAGCAGTTCAAGAAGACAAAGCCAATTACTATAATGAAATGTGCAAAGACCTGGAGTTTGAAAACCAAAAGGAAGAGCATGCTCGGCATTTCTCAAGCTGAAAGAAATGAGGAAAAAATGTCAGCCTCAAGTTGCAATATTGAAAGATTCTATGGGCAAAATATTGAATGATGCAGGAAACAGCAAAAGAAGATGGAAAGAATACAGAGTCACTGCACCAAAAAGAACTGGTTGATCTCCATCCATTTCAGGAGTTGGCATATGATCTAGAACCAATGGTATTGAAGGAGGAAGTCAAAGCTGCAGTGAAGGAATTGGAGAAGAACAAGGCTCCAGGAATTGACGGAATACCCGTTGAGATATTTCAACAAATGGATGCCCCATTGGAAGCACTTACTCAGTTATGCCAAGGGATTTAGAAGACAGCTACCTGGCCAACTGACAAAGAGATCCATATTTGTACCCATTCCAAAGAAAGATGATCCCACAGAATGTGGAAATTATCGAACAATATCATTAATATCGCACATAAATAAGATCTTACTGAAGATAACTTAAAAACAGTTGCAGCAGTATATTGACAGAGAATTTCCAGAGGTGCAAGCTGGATTCAGAAGAGGGTGTGGAACAAGTGATATCATTGCTGCTGTCAGATGGCTCAAGGCAAAGAATACCAGAAAGATGTTTACTTGTGTTTTATCGATTATGCAAAGGCATTTGATTGTGTGGATCATGACAAATT